AGCATCACATCTAGAATTGAGCGTCACTGTGCCAGTTAGCATCACAGCTCCAGTTGTCATCGCAGCTAGCATTGAGCATCACAGCTCCAGTTAGCGTCACAGCTCCAGTTAGCGTCACAGCTCCAGTTAGCGTCACAGCCAGCATGACATTCAGTTCTCTGTTTTCACAACAGCGCTGCTGCTGCTGCTGCTGCTGATCCTCCCAGCAGGTTTCCATAACCTCAGGCTGCTGTGGGTCGACCAGAACCGATCCTCCTGCTCAGGTTCTACTGACACCACCAGTAACATGCGCTGAAACCACATGTTTACATACACCAAATGAAAACACGCATCCACAACTCAAAGAAAGTTAAAAAATCTCTAAAAATGTTCTGGCATGAAGCCCATAGAAATAATTTTGGAGATTCTGTCCTGAAAGACGTTTGGATGCTAAAATGTGGATTTGTGTTTTTATTGGGGGTATGTAAAATTCTGGCTTCAGCTGTGTATTCAGGTGGATTTCTGCGACCTGCAGCAGATGGACTAAAACATTTCAAACATTCCATCGGGAATCCATCTGGTTTCAGGGCAAATACTCCTGGTTCCGGTCGGTAATATCTGCTGGGATCAGCTTTTGGACCCGACCCACGCTGACCCATTCAGGCGGTATCTGTTGGTTCTACTTTTAGAAACGGTTCAGATCCGGGGAGGTTTCCGACCTTCAGGTCCAAAACATAATCAATGAAGAAGCATTAGGGTCGTAAAGACAGGGTAACTGAAACGGATCCCTGAGGAACTCCAGGCCCGTTTGGGTTATTCAGCCTGACTGGAGAGAAAATATGGAAATTCACTTAGTCATGTTTTCACCATGTTACTCATTCATTCATAAATGTCACAGTTCCAATCTAAGTATTTAATTAATCGGCAAGTGTGTTTACTAACTAAATATTTAGTTTTTCTCTGACAGGCTGTAGAACCAGAGCAGAACCCGATCGGTCGGATCTGCAGCTTTGGTTCCGCCTGATGATGTTCTGAACTCAGGCGGTCCAGAACCGCCCGGGTCACGGAGGGGTCACGGTGATGGCTGACGGTGTGTCTGCATTCCTGCTTTATGACGGCTGATCGCCTGTAAAAACGCCTCTAGACGTCCATCTTGGCACGTTTCCATGGCGACTGCTGTATGTGTTGGCAGGCGGGAGGCGACTGCGGCTCCAGGAAACGTTTTTCCTGGAGTTTCTGGTCCGTTCAGCGGGACGGCTGGTTGGATCGGCCTGTTCAGACGTGAACCGGAGCCGACAGACTTCTGGGAACATTTCAGTTCATCTCAGTTCAAACTGGTTTTTTCTCCAGGAGATGCTGAGGCTTCAAAGCAGCTCTTTGTCCACAAGCAAGATGCAGGAAGCCGTAACCATGACGACGCGTCTCATCTTTCACTGCCAGCCACCAGGAAGTTCAGGCTGGTCGCTCCGGCGACCAATCAGAGGCTGGCGCTGCCGTGATGTCACAACGGGGGTCAGTTTGTGTTTCTGTCACCGACAGGAAGCTGAAGTGACAGAACCAGCGGGGAGGGGGTGGGGGGTGTTCTGGTCCATTCATCTTCCTCTCATGACTCCATCCTGCAGAGCTTCAGTGAGGAAGAGGAGGAGGAGGAAGAGGAGGAGGTTGAGAGTGACAGATGAATGAACATCTGTCAATCAGCCGCCATTATTCTGTTTGTTTGCAGGAAAACGCGTCCGGACTCATCCAGGCTCGACCGGGTCGGCGGTCAGAACCGGCCCGCTTCGCCCTGGAACCGGTCCAGAAACTGCTCGGTGTTTCAGGCGCGTCTGCAGGCCAGACCTGCTGGCTGCTGCTCACATATTTCCCTCAAATCCAAACCAGATCCTGGACTTTGCTCATCAGTCCCACAACATCCAGCCGCTGGACTCAAACAGCCTCAGATTTCCTGCAGTCAGTGAATGCACCACAGCTTTGGACTTGCTGCATTTCCCGCCTCCTTTTTCTAAAGTTTTCTTTTTTTAAGTTTGCACATTTGAGAAATGGAATCCCTTCTAACATGTGGACATGTTTCAGCCTGATGGGATTTACCTGATCAATAAAAACTCTTCCAGGTTGCAGGTGTTCAGCAATCAGATCAGATATCAGCCTTTACAAAAGGTTCCCTCTTTTTATAAACCCAACTTAGCAGATTTAAAATCAGAGAAAAATGACTAAATTAGTCAAATTAAACATAAAAGTACAGATTTATGGATGCAGAAACCTTTAAGTGAGTCGAGGGCCAGAAGCACAGCCCTGAGGGACTCCTCAAGCTACCATGTGGCGCCTCAAACAATAAAAAATATCAGTAACTCTGTTTCTGATAAAACAGTTTGTTTCAGTTAAAGAAAAGAAAAATATAAAATTATGCAAATAAAATGAATGAAACCTTTAGAAATCAGTGAATGTGCCACTAAGATGGTTTCACAGGATCCGCCAAATTTCTTTGTTCGTCATTTTTTCATTTTCAGTCGCTTGATTGAATTGTAATATGCACAGACAGACAGTAGGAGGCGCAAGAGCACCTGACCTTTTCCCTCTGGACAAAAACAGCCACCTGAAGAAACATTTTTTCCAGTGTTTGTGGCTCAAGAGAGAATCTGGCTCCTGATCTGAAATAAGAAAATCTGCATGATATTTAAGCTGCTCTGGCTTTTTATTCATCTGCCCACAAAATGTCTGCGCAGCAAAATTCCCCCTTTAACATGAGCATATTTATGAATCAATCAACTTTTTTCACTAAATCTTTTATTTGAGTCACATGCAGGCTGCTTCCTGTCGTCCCAGACTGGACCACTAGATGGCAGTGTGAGGCGCTAGCAGCACCTTTAAATATCTTGCTGCAAGTTAAAACTTAGTTACAGATTATATGAGTAAATAAATTCATAAAAGTTGTTTAACAGCAGATCTGCCCGGTGGATCAGCTGCAGTAAAATCTGAATTTCCTTCGGGATTAAATTAAATTATGCCGGTAAATAAATGTCAGGCTCTGACTCAATCTGTTAATCAGTGACTCGTCCTGCGACCTCAAGCTAATTTCAATGTGAAATCAAAGTCATTCAGAGACCAAAAGAGGAGAAAAGTTGAAAGTTTAGAGAAGAGGAGAAAGAAACTCATTGATCTGCTCAAAACCAGCAGAGATCCAGAACACCAGCCCGTCAGAACCAGCAGAATGTATTATTTTACAGCCTCAAATCATCTGGAAAATCTGGAAATTTGTTGGTTTTGTTCATATTAAGCAACTTAAATTTGCAGAACTCATCTACTTCAATAAAAGTTCTTCCTTTATTTCTGTGCGTGGAAAAACTTCTGATCTCTGCAGATTTCGGCCGTTTCTCCACTTACTGGTGGCAGACATGTTGGCGGCTCGGTCCGGCGTCACGACCCAGGCTGGGAGCGCCCAAAGCGGGGAGAGGGAGTCAGTAGAGAGACCCGCAGCTCCGACCGGTCCGAATCCCGCAGCTGGCTGCGCTGAATGCGCCTCCGATCTGCGCAACGATGGGAGTCCCCGAGCGGCCCCGAGGGGCGTTCAGGAACACTCGGACGACAGATTAATTTATGATTTATTGTTCAACTCTGCTGGAACCGAGAGACCGAGAGGTGCTGAAAGTTAAACCTGCCATCTATAAAAATACTTAAAAACCAGATTTAAAACTTTTTACAGATAATATTAGATTTTTTTCTTTAATAATGACTTTCTTGAATTAAAAACTTGGTGTCATAGTAATAGATATATACGGGATTGACAGGAAATTATTTATTTGTGTGCTTACTGCAGTCATCCATCAGGTGACCCAAAAGCAACCAGAACCAAAATGTTTACAAGCTTTTAGCTGCAGCAGTTAGCAGCTGACTCTCAGATTTCCTACGGTCCCTGAAGGGCTCACGCTGATATTTCTGATATTGAAAACAAATCCAGAGATAAAAATTCACTGTTTTTATGAGAAATTAATGTTTGTTTTGAACGTTTTCAACCCAAACTCTGGAAATGTTCCGGTTCTGGACTGAAAACTGTAAAATGAGAGGAAAGTTTGGATCAGAATGTTTCTGATGGGCTTTTAATAATAATAATCATAATATTATGATTTGTGTTTGTCACTCTGAGGTTCCACCTGATGGGTCGAAGCCTGGGCGGTTCTAGACGGGGGCCGGCAGGGGGCCGGCCCCCGCAGAACCGACCATCAGTAAGTCCTTATGGCGATATGCGTTTCCACGGAAACCAGGGCTAATTAGTCCCTTATTGAACCAATTTCATTTTTTACCTTCACAGTTTTACTTTAATGTTGGCCATAGAATATATACATATAAATATTATTTAAACAATGTATTATCAAAGCCAGTTTTCCTTCATAGTGTTTCTGAATGTAATCTGAATATTTATGCAATATTTCCACCAAATGATTCTCACTGAACGGTGAGTTTCTCCCAACAGTCACTTCTCTCCTGATGCGCTAGTCTGCAGCTCAACAGCCAATCATGTGTGGTTGCTAGGCAAATTTAATAAATATCTGGCCAATCAGAGTCGTTGAATTAAATATAAATAAAATCATTTGTTCTTTATAATCAATTACTAATGTTGCTCTCGTTAGCATGATGCTAATTCACTTCTGGTTAGCATAATGCTAATTCACTTCTGGTTAGCATAATGCTAATTCATTTCTGGTTAGTTTGATGCTAATGTTGCTCTCGTTAGCATGATGCTAATTCTCGTCCGGTTAGCATAATGCTAATGCTGCTCTTGATAAATGTTGCTAAGATTTCTTTATTTAAATAATTAATAATGATTTTATGATTAAATTCTGCATATTTTGCAGGTTGCTGAACAGACTGTTAGCATGTAGCTAATTTAACCCTTTGTGTGATTCTGCTGTGTGAATACGGTCGGATTATCATGGATTATTTTCATTTGAACATTCAGACTCGTCCACACAGGGAAGCGTAGCCGCACCACCAGCCGCCTTTGACTGAAAGGCTTTTAGCTGCGGCTGATCAGCTCGTTTATTAAACCTGACATATTTCCCTGTTCTTCGGTGCCTCGTTACAAACCTCTGACTCCTCCTGGTAGATTTGGTGTGGAAGAATCAGGAATGTTTCTGTGCTGATGGAATCGCTGCGTCAGTTTGTGTCACAGAGAAAAGCAGAGCTACATTCCTGTTAGCGGGAGTCATTGATCAGCAGAGCGCTGCTCACACCCAGATCAGCACTTTATATTGACTTTCATCCATTTTGGTAAATTTACTAATGCCCAACCAAACAGTCACCCCAACATGACCTATGACCTGTTAGCATAGCTATTGTTTACTATTGTATCTCAATGCTTAGCTGAGTTAGCTTTTAGCAGACAGAGCCGCCTCTGGAGTGTTCCCAGCAACAGCCTCAGGTTCCGGTTCTGTTCCGGTTCTGTTCACTTCTTAAAGGTTGTTTTTAATTACACCTGAGAATGTGTCTGATTACCCAACAACTGATAAAACGTTTTAGGTTGCAGATAAATGACCTCCTGGAAAACGTCTGCAGGGTTATTTTCATCCCTGAGACCCGATTGGGTCGTCCAGAACCGCCAGGCTCTGTCTCACCCCGGTTCTGGACATCAACAATGTTCCTGCTGACAGCAGAGGGGCTGAAATCCGTCATGGTGGGGAATTAAATGTGTCCCACAGAGACGCAGCTCCCAGAACCCAGACCAGAACATGGATCAGAACCGGGACCAGAACCTGGATCAGAACCGGGATCAGAACCGGGACCAGGACCCAGACCGGTGGACCTCCGGGGTCACGAAGGGCGCTGCCTGCTGCCATCCTCCACGCTGCCACCAGGCGGCGCTACACTGGGAGAGTAAAGTTTGAGATGCAACAGGCAGGGGCGGATCTACTGGGGTGGCAACAGGGGCAACAGGGGTGGCAGTTGCCACGACAATGAATTCAATAAATTGTTA